TGTTTTTCACATATGTGGTACAAAGGTTTTATTCAAAGAGCTATAAGTAGGTATATATAAGTATTCTCACCGATACTGAAGTAAAAATAAAATAAAATATTGTTTTCGATCCACTCCGTGTATACAGTACTTTGCAAAAGCATCTGGCTCTTAATTATTCTCTTTAATGATTACACCATTTTTGTACTTGCCTCCCGATTCCAAGATGGTATGATCATTAAAAAAGCTGTTAGCGCAATCCCTTGCGGGATTAAAAATGTGAAACACGATATACCCAATACAAATGATGAAAACAAAATTTTCTTTTATACAAGTAATTGATATGATATTCAAGGATTTTAGGATTTTCGATATTTTTTATCAAATTCTGCAAAATAAAATGAAAATATTGTACGGAATTAGTCTACAGTCAGTGTACAAAATTAATATAAAGATTTTAATGTGTTTTTAATTTTGCGAACAGTTTATGTAAAATTTTCTTAGAAAAGCATGTCTGTCACGGTCTGTGGGGGGGGGGGGGGGGAAGAGTGAGTCCAAATTCCTATCACTAAACACTTCAACACTCCTTTCAGGTCGTGCTTCACAAAAGAGTGAGGAATCGAAAACTTTCGTAGACTACTATATCATTCTTTACAATGGATAATATTTCAATTGTCCGAGGATGATAAGAGCACTCGTTCTCACAATATTCCAACAGTGACTTAATTACAAAAGCATTAAGTGTTATTTTTTCATCAACTGTTGTCGTTTTACTCCATTTTCTCGATGAATTTTTTTTTAGAACAATCGATTGATTTCATTTACTTTTCTAGATCAGATTCAGGCCGATTTGAGATCGATGACAAAGATTATCGCTTAATCTTCTTACGATTAATAATATGGATCACTTTGTTGACGAGACACAACAACACCGTTGAACTTAAAATAGGAACTAGAGTGTCACTCGAACTTCGCTTGAGCAGAAGAAGGCTGCTGACTGGACGACCTTCGAATATATCAGTATTTTTCTTGTTGAAATAGATCCTAATATTAATTGAGTTTTAGTATATCCTTGGCATGATACTAAAGTTAAATATAAATGAAAATTTATTTCTCATATTTTAGTTTTTGTCTATGTATTGATTCTTATCGTCTCTCTTATTTGATCCATATGAATCCTACAACAGTCGTTTTTCTAGGCGTTTGAGACTTCATGTATAAATTGAAGTCACAAAAGAAGATAATTAAAGTACATATGTGTGCATATAACATCTAATTTATTGTAATGCTCCCGATTGAGTACATTCTATGCATGATGTTTGACTTGTTCTTACTAATTATTCCTTCTCACCTTATGTATTGTCCTTATCTTTCTGTCATCACTTTGTACATCATATTATACTTTGTCTTTCTCCTCCTTTCTTCTATCTGATGGGCGAGTATATAAGTGTATGCTTTGTATGAAAACGATACGATTCTGGATAAGAAGAAATATAATAAAGCGTAGTTCCATCAGCGCTAACTCTTCTTCTATCCAAAAATTGTCACATTTATCAATGGTCGCTTTAAGATAAAACCATGCATCATCATATAAGGAAACTAGAAGATGTTAATTATGTTTTTCTACATATTCATATCTTCTGAATGCCGTCGAATTTTGAAAAAACAGATTTCAGGTATACACTCGTCATATTCTTATGATCCCAGTAAATTTTATTTCAATTCGACTTATGCTCAGGCGCTGGGAATGAGCAACTGACTTGAATCGTGACTAATGTATCGAGTGAAAGAAAAAGAAGAAGACGAATTCGTTATGACAAATAAGCGTCTGAAAAGCAATAGGTCAGTTACTACACTTTATACAATCATTTACCTTAAGAAATGATTCTAAATTATGACAGTCGTTTGAATGAATGATCTAAATAAATTTTCAAATCATCCGCTTCACTCGAATGTTGAACTTTTTTGCTACTATTTCCATCGCTTTACAGTCAACACAATCATCATAGAACTGATTATTAATATAAATACTCCCATTACAGATGTCTTTATTATGAAAATTTTTTTGAAAAACAATATAAATTGATAAAATTTTCTGAGCTTTTAAATGACTATACGAGTCAGTCATCTGTCTATTTATCGTTATACATCCAAGCTTAAAATTATTATGAAACTAAATGCTAACAATTGATTTTAATGATTTCATTTTTTCCAATTACTTCTCATTGTTTGTAAAATTTTTTATAAGTGTCAGCTTTCCAGCTCAACACTTCATACAGACAGAGAACTTACAAGATCAATGTACCCATAAACAAGCGATTTATTGATCATGGGCTGCTTGCTATTTTGTTCAATAATACAATTGTTTCCATGTTCGTTTAGTTCACACTGGATGAGAATATAAAGGAACTTTCTGATCGTTGGCAGGACTTTTTGTGGGTATGAGTGTATGGAGTTATCATGATCTTAACATTTCGGCCTGGACGACGTGGATCATCAGATAATATTCGTTTGATGTCAAGAAAAAATCAGAACGAATAAGTGAGGGTGTTAGCATTAGCATTCATTATTCGATTTTTGCCTATGTTCAAAAGGAGTTATCAGGCGGCTTGACTTTGAGCTTTTCTAGATACGTAGAAAAATATTAGAATAATATAATCTAAAAGAGATTAGTTGCCCTTTTTCTACTTGTTGCAATACTAAGTCTAAACGGATCTTTTATAGTTCATATAACAATGGCAAGCAATAGAGAGTGAGGATAAGTATGAGAATGAGAATGTATATGTTAGCGTCAGTATTCTCGTCAGATACATTCCACACTCTGATGAAGTTAAAATCATCGATATTTTGCACTAATGCGCATTGTAAAGAGTGCCTTCAATAGTTCCATTGTATTACTATCATAGTTTGTGCATTTTCTGACTTAGAAACTTGACTGATGCTGTACGATGAAGATGTGAATTGGTAAGTGTCTTATCTGAAGTATCATTCTCAGCTTCGTCTTTCATACTATGGCCCACTCGCTCTCGCCATTGCCCACAGCTTCAATCTCATACTGATGTTGTCAGATGGAGGAGGAAACACTAGCTGGGCCACAACATGAACTACAAAAACAAGACTGACCCACACCCCAATAGGCTACCGAAAAAAGGTTCAGTCACAGCATGTATAAAATCCTGATGATACCATCACAACCTTACCTAAGAAAGTACGAATATCTCCTTCATATTTTGGTTAAACGCAATGATTTTGTTAGTAATGATAAAAGCATGATTTATAGCTCATGTTCATAAGAAAAATGTTCATAAATACTACTATCTGGGTGTGGGTGGGTGTGTGTGGGTGTGGGTGTGGGTGTGGGTGTGGGTGGGTGTGGGTGTGGGTGTGTGTGGGTGTGGATGTGGGTGTGTGTAGGTGTGGGTGTGTTGTGGGTGTGTGGGTGTGTGGGTGTGGGTGAACACTAGATTGCACCTAAAACCATCCATCTCTCCACACTCACACCCTATTGGCTTTACAAGCATTCGAATTGTTTGACCTTATTGGAAACATGACGAACGTGGTGATAAACTTTTTGGAATATTCTGATCAATTAGCGAAGGGATTGTTGAGTTTCATCGTGCAGAAACCTTTTTTTTTTGTAAAAGACATACTTGTAATCACCCAAGCTCTGATCGAGCCGAGATAGAGTCGAACGGGCACGAACAAATCTTTGTTCGACTTCAAGGCTTCGTGCATACATATATAATCGCATTAAAAATGAAATAAATCTTGAATGAAATGACATTTTCTTAATCAAAAAAACAGTCAATAGAGTGCAAAAAATAATGTATTCAGAAACAAGCTATCTTTCGTACACAGTGTATTGTTCTTTGTTTGCACAAAAGAAACATGAAATAATTAAGTTTCTCTTGTCGTATAATTAAAAATATGCATCAAGCCTGAGAAGCCAAATACGTGCGTACATTCATTTTGTCAGAGAAATAACAAATAAGAGTCTTTTTTACGACACATGAGAGATTAGTTGCAATGAAGACAGATCGAAGTCACATGCATATAAAAGAAGGTAGTTATTACTTTATGCCATACGTTCGATTTCTATTCACCGTGTCATTTAGATGATATTCAATCAATCAAGCCAAGTGCCATAAAAGTTACTGATCATCCATATAATCGCCCACTCAAAAGACGAGTAAGTTCTTTCAAACTGTTTCTTGTTGTTTATATCATTTGGTTAATTCAGCGTCATTATCCATCATCGTCAAAGTCACGATTCAGGAATATCATTCATACAACCATTCGACTCAAAAGCAGCACTCGTTTTACAGATCCCGAGAGTGTTGATCGACGTCATCATAGAGATGAATCAAGAAGAATATCAACGAGAAAAAGTTTAGTCAAACTTTCAGAGAGTACAACAAGTTTTGTCAGTATCGGTAAAATCCATAGAGTTCATCCTTTACGGTCTCAAGTAAGAAAAAAGAAAACAAGTTATTGCATTCATATTATTCACATCACTTTTCATGATAGTCAAATCAGAACGTCTGCAAAAACGATGATTCGAAAAAAAACTTGCAATTACAAAGTAATTGTTCAGCAAGAACTGAAAGTGATCGAGAACACAGCCATCAAACAATCTTTAAAGGTAAAACGGGTTCATCAAAATCATCCAAGAGTATTAGTGATAACTTCCAAAATATCAAAGTAAGACAAATAATTATTTTTGTTATTGTCTTCCATAAACTCGTCTCTCGAATGAAAACAGACAATAGATGCAGAATCAAATCAAAGAGCTACTACGAAAGATTATCAACTGAATTCAAAAAGAAAAAAAAAGAATAAGTCAGTATTCTCCTTCTTCTTATTGATCGTATATGTGTTCATTCATTAATATGTGTTATAGATGTCCACGTTTCTGTAAAATTGCATTTGTCATTGCTGTTCTGGTTCTTGGCATAGTGATTGCAATTCCGCTTACATTCTTCATTAATTCCAAAGCGACAGAAACGACAACAACAGGAACAATGACACGTAAGACAGGGAGATTACTTTTTCGTACTGACTAGGTGTCTTGAGGATGAGAGTTGAGAGTGTTACTGCCTCATTTTTCTCTATTTATCTAATAAAGTCTAATGATATAGCTTTGGTCGATGTAGAATATACTTGAAATTTTGCATTAGACAACTCTCGTTCGTTTACCGTTGGAAAAAGCAAAAGCAACTTCGTTCAATAGATAGGGCAAACTTTGAAAAAAATTCAAATGAACGACCGAAAAAAGTTTAAAAAGAACTTAATACAGAAATTTATTCTAAACATTGAATAAATTACAGAAAAAAATTCTAACATCTAGAATTTATCTGCACAAATTAGATAGTCTAATAATTGTAATAAAAGCATACAAGTCTTTCATCTTCGTTTGATCCATTACAGTTAAAAAATTGAAGCACGACTCCTATCGATACTATCAGCGATGCCACTAATTCGTTTGATTGACTATTCATGAATTAATTTCAACGTGATAAATGATTTCTCGACGCTGGAGCATTGTTAACGCATGATTTAAAAACAAAATCTTAGCATTTCTTTTCTCAGCTTTTTATGCTTAGTTCGTGAAGTGCATTGATTTTGATCAGAGTGTTACAGCCGTTATAATTAAAACTCCAAAGAAAAAGAATAAAAAAAAGCAATATATTTATTGTCTTGAAGCCTTGAAAAATTATGCAATGGAATATTAATATTAGATAGATTTCAAGTTTAATGGTGAAAGCCGATCTAATTGCAGTGTTGACTAGTCATCACATAGAAGCATCATATATTTTAGTTAAACAGCTGTCGACCAACTCAGATCATCCCCCATGTTCATAAAACTGTTCTAGATTTCTATTTTAATAACATACATATAATTTATTTTAGTCGCTGCATCATTGATAAATCCTTGTACGTATATATAGGGAAACAAGTTTGTCTTAGTTTAAAATTTATTCGTTTTTCTTCTTCATTGTAAGGTACTAGTGGAGTTTTTTGGAATACAGTTGGTGTTACCTATGCAGGAACTGGCGTGCAAGGTTCTGCTTTGAATCAATTATCTACGCCAACCGGTATATTTATAGATTCAAGCGATATTCTATATATAAATGATGGTGGCAATTATCGTTCACTGAAATATTTGCCTGGTAGCACGAGTGGTATTCTTGTAGCAGGAACAGGTGTGAGTGGGTCTGCATTGAATCAACTTGGCTTATCAACACGTTTTAATTATGTCGATTCAAATCAAAATATTTACATTAGTGACGGAAGCAATAGTCGGATTGTGCGTTGGGCAAATGGTGCATCCACCGGAGTGAAAGTAGCGGGCGCTGGTACTTCTGGAACCTCACTAAATCAAACAAGAACTCCATACGGTGTATGGGTAGATTCTAGTTCAAACGTATTTGTTTCGGAATATACCAATCATCGCGTAACAAGATGGAGTCCAGGTGGAACAGTAGGAGTTATTGTCGCTGGTGGAAATGGACAAGGTAAGTCGGGCAAGAAAAAGCTAATTTACAGTTTGTTAATAAAAATTATATTTAAAATAATGACGAATGAGTATCAGCCAATCGAAAAAGGAAAAGATACTGAAAATTTTCAACGTTTCTTGTCACCATTTTTTCTTCTATTCGAATGACACCTTTCATGAGAAATACAAAAATCGATTTAAGAACATTGACTGCAACCCATTTTATTGTTCTACGTATTTTTTTTTTGTCAAATTCTAATTTTTAGAATATTGATTTCCCTGTGTCTATTCGAAATGGATATGGAAATGCACCATAATCTTTTTCTATTGTATCGCAACGTTTCAATCGTATACCTTTCAGAAAATGATTCTTTCATAAATAAATTCGTGTATTATGATTTTCAATGGAAAGCTAACTAGAATAGGTGACACAGACTGTATACAAAGCAAACAGAATTTTTCAAAATGAGTAAACTTCTCCCGTGTATAAGAAGTACATTAAAAAATGTTTAAAAAAACGAAATCTTTTTTGTGTCGACGCAGCTCCTTAGCCTTTACATTTGAGAGAATATTATGCGCAGCCCATTTAGAGCTCTGATACTTACTATTTCTTCTCATCAGTTTAATTGTTTGCATTGTTCATTTCCTTTTGTAAGGTAATAACTTATAATTCTGTATAAACAATTTATTTGATGATCAGATCTTCTCAAAATCAATATTTGTAAAATAATAACCGTTTCTAGTTCCATTTTTATTGGTAGGTGCAACATCAGATAGATTATCAGCGCCCTCTGGTATGTTTTATGATGAAACAATGCAAGATCTATATATTGTGAATGCTATTTCAAACATAGTGGTGAAATGGCGTGTTGGTGCTTCGAATGGCACTGTTCTGGCTGGTGTTGCTGGAAGTTCTGGATCATCATCCACTTATTTAGATTTTCCAGTAGATTTAACATTAGATCAATGGAATAACATATATGTTGCCGATCGTCAAAATTTACGAATTCAACTTTTTTGCAATGGCAGTCTGACAGGCATTACGATTGCTGGATTGGGTACTAGTGGTACCAGTCTCGTTGTTCCATATAGTGTGGCATTAGATTCAAAATTAAATTTGTATGTCTCTGACAATGGTGCTGCGCGTATTATTAAATTTTCTAAATTATAAAACTATCAGCCGATCTAACTTTGTCTTTTTCTCTCTCGTTTAGTGACTCTATTACAGCGTGTTACTTGACTTTTTTTAATAATTTTGCACAAAAAAAATTATTCAAGCAAAGATATCTTATTGAAAATAAATAAAGAGAGAATGCCCACAACAGAAGACTAAAATACACACATAAAATTCACAAAAAACACAATTATTTCAAGGAATAAGCACAATGATTTCGTAGTCTCAAAAACAATCAATTTTCTCTTTTAGTTATATTGGGTTGGCAAGAAAGTTTTGCGTCTTTTTTTATTATCTTAACACATTGCTTGAACTTTTTTATTTGATAAGCTATCGACTTGATTTAAGTGCCAATGGAAAGAATATTGTCTCATGAGTAGCTACTTTATTCTTTTGGTTGGGTTTCATACTATTCCTATTACAGTTTGTGATGTAATGACTATGATGTCATATAACCACGAAGTCACGTGGCTATGAGGTCACGTGACTACTACGTGTTCAGTGTTAGAGTACATTCTGGAACTTTCTATGGTTTATATTCCTCTTTCGTGGATGGGTTCTTGCGTAATGTTCTGGAATGTGGGTGTGGGTGGGTGGGGTGTGGGTATAGGGTGGGTGTGGGTGGGTGTGGGTATAGGGTGAGTGTGGGTGGGTGTGGGTATAGGGTGGGTGTGGGTGGGTGTGGGTGTGGGTGTGGGTGTGGGTATTTATCTTCTATTTATTCATACCCACACCCACACCCACACTCTCACAAAGGTCCATCGAATGCAAGATTTATTTCAATGTAAATGTGAAACTGAAACTTTTCCCTTGCAGATTCTTCAACCGAACACTGTCAGGTAGTCTAATCTTTAAAAATATCATTTTCATTTTTTTCTATTGTAGGCTGTTCACACGAAATATTTATATCAACGTAAATTTAGTATAAGTATCATTGGTTTCTTCCACATTGTCCAACTGAACCATTTATAAGGTAACTTTATCTTGAAAATTATCATTTCTATTTTTCACTTGTAGATTAGGCAATTGCAATATTTATCTGAAACTAGATTTGATTTTAGAATGGTTTTTTTTTCTTTCAAATTGTTCAATTGAACAAAACATAAGGTGGTTTTATCTTCAAAAATAATGTTTTTATTTTTCTGTTGTAGATTACTCACTTGCAATATTTATTTTAGGTTGAATTTAACATTAAAAATGTTTTTTTTCGTTCACGTTTTTCAAGTGAACAATAAATGAGGTAATTATATCCTTAAAATTATCAATTGTATTTTTCTGTTGTAGATTATGAAATTGAAATATTTATTTCAAGTTAAATTTAACATATAAAATGGTTTTTTTCTGTAGTATTGTCCAACTAAACAATGTGGAAGGTAACTTTATCTTTAAAATCATGTTTTTCTTTTTTCTGTTGTAGATTATTCACTTAAAATATTTCCTTCAAGTTACATCTCATATTAGAATGTTTTTTCCTTTCAAATTGTTCAGCTGAATAAAATATAAGGTAATTTATCTTGAAAAATTATATTTTTGTTTTTTCTGTTGTAGATTATACAATTGCAATATTTATCTGAAACGAAATTTAACATTAAAAATGTCTCTTTGTTGAGGTGGTTCCAGTAAACAATATATCAGGTGCTTATATGCTTAAAATTATCATTTCTCTTTTTGTGTTGTAGATTGCTGAATTCAAATATTTATTTGAACTTAAATTTAACACTAAGAATTTTTTTTTCTTCCGTATTGTCCAACTGAACAATGTGGAAGATAATTTTACCTTTAAAATTATGTTTTTCATTTTTCTGTTGTAGATCATACAATTGCAATATTTACCTGAAGTTAGATTCGATTTTGGAATGTTTTTTTTTCTTTCAAATTGTTCAACTGAACAAAATATAAGGTAATTTTATCTTCAAAAATTATGTTTTTGTTTTTTCTTTTGTAGGTTATTTAGTTGAAATATTTCTTTCAAATCAAGTTTAACATTAAAAATGTCGTTTTTTTTTAGGTTATTGCAGTGAACAATATATGAGGTACTTATATCGTTAAAATTATCGTTTCTATTCTTCTATTGTAGATTAAAAAATTGAAATATTTATCTCAAGTTAAATTTAACTCTAAAAATGTTTTTTTTCTTCAGTTTTGTCCAAGTAAACAATGTGGAAGGTAATTTAATCTTTAAAAGTTTGATTTCGATTTTTGTGTTCTAGATTATTGAATTGAAATATTTACTTAAAGTTACATTTAGCATTAAAATGTTTTTTTTTTCTTTCAAATTGTTCAATTGAACAAAATATAAGGTAGTTTTATCTTCAAAAATTATATTTTTGTTTTTTCTTTTGTAGATTATTCAGTTGAAATATTTATTTTAAGTTAAAGTTAACATTAAAAGTGTTTTTTTCGTTCACGTTTTTCAAGTGGTCAATAAATAAGGTAATTATATTCTTAAAATTATTAATTGTATTTTTCTGTTATAGATTATAAAATTGAAATATTTATTTCAAGTTAAATTTAACATAAAAAATTTTTTTTCGCTCAAATTGTTCAAGTGAACCATATTTCAGGTAATTTTACCGTTAAAATTATGCTTTTCTTTTCTCTGTTGTAGATTATTCCAATGAAATATTTATTTCAGATTATATTTAATATAAAAATGTTTCTTTCTTTCAGATTCTCCAACTGAACAATGTGGAAGGTAATTTTATTTTTAAAATTATGGTTTTCTTTTTTCTGTTGTAGATTATCCAAGCGAAATATTTATATCAATGTGGATGTCATAATTAGCTTTTGCTTTACTTTGGATTCTCCAAGTCAACAATTTGGTTATAGCATAGTTTTATTAATTGTTGGGAAGTGCAGTTGATTTGTCGAAATATTGGGTATTTATGGATTTGTGTCAAGTTGATGAAGCCAGTTTCTTCGGCTTGAGATACTTCAGTTTGGTTTTGAGTTTCTTAGTTGGTTCTGTGGGATTCCAATCTCTACAGCTGGGACCAGGCGGCTGGAAAAAACGCGCTCGATTTGTACCCAATGCTGTTTTGAGAGAATCCAGCTAAATTGAGGTCAATATCGGATACTGTGGAAGGGCTTGTGATGAGTCTCATGCAACTATTGTGTTATAACTTTAGAGACCAGTTCCTATGAAATTTGTGCTACGAAACCTCGTCTTCGAAACCTTTTTTGTGGTTTGTTGAAATTAGTTTCGTACCGAACCAGTTTTGTACGAAACAAAAAGGTTTAGAATTCGTTTCAAAATTCGAAACCTTTTTAAGTTCCCCAGGTCGATCATTCCGGATGTTCGTAACGGCGTCGTAAACGGTATAAAACGGCGCTATTACGGGCCTTAATCCGTCAGCCCGTTTTACGACCACCATTTAGTGCAGTAAGCAATCATCGGCTTTACAAGAAAAGGCCATCGTTTTTCGCCGTATTTTAGCCGTAAAATGGTATGGCGAAAAATGGTCTCCATAAAATATCGTGCAATATGATCAAGGGGGAAAAAGCAAGACTTCTTACTTCACGTACTTCACTTGTACTTCACTTATACTTCATTGTACTTCGTTGGTACTTCAGCTGTACTTCACTCGTACTTCAGCTGTACTTCACTGTACTTCAGTTGTACTTCACTCGTACTTCACTCGTACTTCACTCGTACTTCACTCGTACTTCACTTGTACTTCACTGTACTTCAGTTGTACTTCACTGTACTTTACTCCTACTTCACTAATACTTCACTGATATTCTGTTAAAAATATGTGATTAGTATTCTAGCATCCAAGAGGGAGCAAAGTACTTTCGACCTCTACTATTTCTTTGGATTTTATTACTATTATACAATTCCTGGCCGCTTCATATAATCAGAAACGATAGCAATGTCTCTTATTCCATTCACAAAGAATCCTATAATGTAATTAATTAGGATCTACTTTTATGAATGCGCACACATCACAATCTAAGTACTCTAATTGATAACATGTACACTGTTTATAATAAAAGTTGGCACTCTGTCAATCGCGTTGATCATAATAAAAACATATATTTTTGCCCTTGATTATCTTTTTCTATATTTCGTACCTAATAAAATGTAAGCATCAGTATTCAACATTGTTTGAGAATTTCATGATGAGTGGCAGGCTTCGTATAACAAGGACTAAAAAGAAATATTTTGTTTGCTGACTCTTTTGGCTGCAAAAGGATTGCTGGATCAGAGTGAAGTACATTTCCTTCACGCGATATTGATTTTCTAAAATTTTTTCGGCTACTTGTATATAATAAGATAGTTTCTTGGTCGTCCTTTTGAATAGTGAGAATGTTTCAGTACTTATATTCTATTCATAATAACAACCACAGAATCAGAAAACATAAGTAAGGCTTAGTAAAGAAAGAATCCAATTTTTTGTATATATCTGATCGATGAGTCCGATTTCAATAGTTGAAGGCAATATGTCTAAAAGATCTAGTTGACAAAAAACTAGCATGAAAGTTATGTCATAATTTGTCTAATGTACTCTTAGTGTGATATGTAATTTCATCATTTGTTTTTCTCTAAAGAAAAAGAATATATATGTAGTTCACAAATGGAATGAAACATTAACTCAAAAAATATAAACATCAACTTAATTTTCAAATACCTATAGACAATAGTTATAGCTTGAAAATGGTTTTATAAATACAACACAAAATACCTATGGAAAAGCATCTTTAATTTTCACACGTTCAAGACGATCACAAGATAATCGCTGCTGTTTATCTTGTAAGTACCATGTCGCAGCTGCTTTATGTAAAAATAATTTTTTCTCGTGAACATTAATAGGAAAATATTTGTGAGCATTATCATTCGAGACTGATTTCTTCAATCTGATTCCTGAAATGAAATAAAAAACGACCATGAGAATAATAAAACAGCAACAGCTTCTGTCAATTTGGTGAACATTATTCAACTCCTTTCATTATTCTCTGCTGGAATTAAGCTTTTGCGGGAATTTCTTTGTCTAAAACCATTTCTTTGTACTTTTATGACTCAAACCACTTTCATTGTCAAATATCAACAGTTTGAGTATTCAATACTATTTCTTTCATTTAATTTCTAACAGATTCATCAAAAACTAATCCGTTTTTCATAGAAAGGAATCGGTTCTTAACTATCATTTGTTACATGGTTATTCAAAATAGAATCGTTTATTTGAACACATGCAGTATTTTAGAATTTTATAGAATAAACATAACATAGCAGTAATATAATGAGATGCTGACAGTTTACTTAAGTAATGAAATGAATATTGATAGAAGACTCAAAATGTTCTGTGAATGATTTGCGTTTTGAAAAAACTCTTTCGGTATTTATATGCATATTTGTGTAAACTTGGATTTTCCATACGAATTAACTTTTATCTACGTAATGTGCAAAAAAAAACATATTTATTTGAAATCAACCATTAATTCAACGTTTATGTTTTAAAATTTAATAGTTCAATGTTAACATCAAGTAGGAACATACGTTAATGTTAATAACAATATAAATAAAAAAAATGGTATGTTTTTTTCCTTTTTTTAAGTTTTCAACTGTGTTTTGGTTCACTTCATTTCATTTTTTTTCACTTTTCATATAACATTGTTGAATTGTTAGTCTTTTTCTGTCGATTATCTCCAGAACAAAACACATAACTAATATTGAGAATATGATTTATATGAATAAAAGAAAAAATTGCTTATTTTGAGAGTCATATTAATTATATAGATAATGATGCTATAGTTAATATTATGATTTAGTTGTTCTAATTGTTCTGTTAAAAATTATATTAGTATTCAATTTTATAAATTGCGAAATCTTATAGATAGAACATGTGTTCATAAAAATCCGTGTTTACTCCAATATGCATGTACTTATATTAATGCAATTAATAAACATGGTGATAATAATATTATTTTTCAATTTATGGAGTTGAATAGCAATATAATTGTTAATAGAACAATTAGAACAACTAAATCATAATATTAACTATAGCATCATTATCTATACAATCAATATGACTCTCAAAATAAGCAATTTTTTTTTTCATTCATATAAATCATATGCTCAATATTAGTTATGTATTTTGTTCTGGAGATAATCGACAGAAAAAGACTAACAATTCAACAATGTTATATGAGAAGTGAAAAAAATGTAATGAAGTGAACCAAAGCACAGTTAAAAACTTAAAAAAAGACAAAAACATACCATTTTTTTTATTTATATTGTTATTAACATTAACGTATACTCCTACTTGATGTTAACATTGAACTATTAAAGTTTAAAATATAAAAGTTGAATTAATGGTTGATTTCAAATAAATATGTTTTTTTTGCACATTACGTAGATAAAAATTAATTTATATGCCGTTTTATCCAACATGATCGTTTAACAGCAAATACATATATATTACTCTAAACAATGCTTATCTTATACTTTTTTTTTCTTACAAAGAAAACTCTTTAAAGTGCAAGTGTCTGATATATACCTGAAAAAGGCGTATGTTGTAAATTGTCGAAGCTAGATGTTGGACTTGCATCATCTTCCGATAAATCATCATCGTATATGACATCATCTAATTCTTCATCTTCTTCAGCGGTATCGTCCTCGCTGGATTCATCAACAATAAGTGCTTCAGATTCAGATAAGCTATTTGATTTTAACAATTGTTTGACTAATTGTGATGATTCTTCAATGTTAAAAAGATTATTTTTACCTAAGTCATGACTCATTCCTACAGAAATTGTCATTTCTTGTGCCACTTGATATGCTTGAAGAATAATTTTTTCAAGAGTATCTATATCAAAACTAACATTATCATTATTAATCTTTGAACCTGGTTGAAAAACAAGTGGTTTAACTTTGTGGTGAATAGGAAAAATTATTTTCTGCTGATTATTTGAGACTTCAAATTGTTTTAACTCTGTAAGAACATTAAGTTTATTGACACGTTTGAGGAATTGCTTCATGGTAAAATTTATACGTGTGGAATAAACTCCAGATAAAGACCTTGCGTTTCTGAAAATATTTTCACATGGCTGCGATGAAAATAAGTGAGTAGCTTCTGATACAGATGGATGCAGTAGTTTTTGTTCAATCAATAAATATAGATATATTAAATAATGAGAATTTAACTCGATACACATTAATGCATTAGAAGTAATAAAATAAGTTTGTTCGCCTCGTTCTTTATTTTTTTTCTTAGCTAAAAGCTTACGAGACTCTCTTGTAATATATAGCCATAATCTCCAGAATCGAATATAAAATAAAACTATACACGAATAATATATACGATCACATAATGAAACTTCACGTTCTGTATATGCTATTATTAGTAAATTTAGAATTAGCATATAATTATATGTACCTTTGTATTTATCATGGAGTAGTAACAAATTCAAAACCTTATCATCAGATATCTTTTGAGATGAAGTGAAATTTTGTTTGTCACGAACATTCAGATCAGATTTACATAAATTATGATTTATTTTATTTGTTGTATCAATAAGTTCATGTAAATGATCGATAGAAACATTATATGAACCCATTATGAGCTCCGCTTTTTCAGATAATAGCCTATTTCGTATTTTGTTGCAAAGATGTATCCCATCTTGTATGAAAATAAAAACCTGACTTGAATTTAAGAAATACCAAGATGACCAGCTTAAAGGAATTTTCACTTTAAAAGTTAAGCTATCATTGTAAACATTTAGTATTTGCTGTTTAACAAAAAAATTAGATGCTAGTCTCATCGAGCGTAAATATTTAGCATCTCCATCGGTCGAAAATCCGAGGATACGAATACCTTTTGCATTAAATTTTTTATTAATCATTAACCACCTTTTTAGTATATCGATAGATGTTAATTTGTTGTTTGTACCGTACGCACCTAACACAATTGATGATGGTATCAAAGTAAAACTTGAAGTTGGAATAGGTTGTACACAATGAACATTGACCAAATGAGCGGGAGTAACAGTTTCACATAAATATTTTAATTGTGAAAATGATGTGCATCTAAAAGCATTTTCACATGGAATACCACCTGCAAGTGGTGTTTCGAATCCATTGAAAATGTCTAAACTAGCATCGTATTCTATTCTGGGGATAAGTGCTGAGCTGTCCTCAGATACGAAAATGTATTGGCATTGAACCGAATTACAATAAGTTTTAGTTTCATCAAAGCGAAACTTTCCTTCGGAGTAAGGTTCATGAAACCAATTGTTTTTTATGGTTTGTATTGTTGGTAAAAGAAATTTAAAATTAAGACGAACATATTCGTACACGTATATGCCAGCTAATATGAAAAGAGCTGTTGCAAATCTTAGTACAGATTCTGGATATCTATAATGGTTTGGTGCTCTGTGATTATTTACATCAATTGTTTTTAATGCAGTACATAAAAAATCTGATTTATTATTTTTATTAATTAAAACCTGAATTTTTTGAAGAGCAATACAAGTTAAATATATTCACAACGAAGTTGTACTCACGTGGTGTTCTTGTGGTGCTTTTTTATCTTTAGCAGATGGATCAGTTATAGGTTGCTTATCATTTTTGACTCGTTTAGATTTTCTTGCATCCAACAATGTATTATCCTTTCTATTCTACAACACAAATTGTAAATGAAAATACATCGCTCTATTATCTGACTCACCAAGTCTTTTACAGATTTAATTGACTGAATATTCGGTGGCAAACTTGACGTTCGAAAATCTTCAATTGCTTGTTGCTAAAACAAAATAGTTATCGAACAATACGTAGCAATTATCAAAAATGAAGATAATAAACTATGTAATTACTAAGTACAACTCATAGTATTATAGAATATCTATGAACAAATCATTATTCTTACACTGAAATTACACGTTTAATGCTAACGTTTTTACTCTTACATGCACCAAATGGACACAACTTATTATTTGAGATAACATTATACTATTGTTCATTTTAACCCTTTATCCTCTAAAACTGTTCCGGCAGTGCTACTAATAAAATCACTATAGAAAAAGAGTATAGTTCTGGTAGATATACGAATAGTACGCTAAGATCGATCAGAGCCACAAACCTATATATAGGGTACTTTAATGTTCACAGTAACCTAGAAAATAGATAGGACAACAGAATGATTTCAAAATCTTCATCTCCTTCCTTTCTATAACAGTGCTAGTTAGGCAAAGGTGTCATCGATTCCTTTTTATTTAAATAATTTCAAAGACGAAATATATCTTATATAAAAAATTCTTTCAAACACTAGATGTATTTTTGACGTAAGTTTTTTAAAAGTAGTTAGTTTTATTTAAGTAATTCTCTGCTTAATGAACAATAGTTAATCGCTGCTGCATATTTTTTCAACTGTGGCTGCAGTGAGATTTACAAATAATATATTCATTATATACGTCCTTATCTTCTTTCAGTTTACAAGTCCTTTCAGGATCCATCGTTGTCCTACTATTATTTCTCTTCCAAGCAGTTATGAAATTTTGTCAAAAGCATTCACTTGAATGCTAGACATCTAGGTCAGTATAAAATACACAATGCCTCTCCGAAAACTTTATTGACTGTGATTAAAAATTTACTTGCTTTTAAAATTTTGTCTTTATTCAATTTTACACAATTAGCAATTTTGTCAGTCCTAGATCTCGAAGACGGAACAAATTATTTTTTTCACCAATCGATAACTTGTGGAGTCTCCTATAATATTACTTTGAGAACTTTCGATTATCAAGTTTCCTTTGTTTTTTGCAAAAGTTCTACGAATGAGTCGAAAACGACCCAACCGGGGGTAAAGAGTTGTAAAAGGAATTGATTTCATTGCGTAAAACCCAAGAATGAAAGCTACTGATTATGTTAATTTGCTAATATTCAAAAAAATTCTACAAATTTATCAATTTATATAATTTTTTTCGAATAATCACAAATGAGAATGATTCTAACTTTTGTTCGAGGCTTTTTTCTACTAAAATTAAATTCTTTTATAAAATAAGTTGAACAACCTGACAACAAAACGAAGTTCAAGTGAAAGCTACATCTACGAATAAAATAGTAAACACGCTTACTTTTTTCGATTGAGAAAGACGATTAAATGAAATTGAATTCTGAGTTTCACCTGCTATTGGCAAAATATGAGACCGACGTCCTCCATCATTCCTTATTATTTGTGAAAAAGCGATTGCTTTTTTTGTAAAACAAATGATACAGACTTACTTTTCATTTGTTGGTTTAGCTGATGAGTCACTATTCTCATCATTGTCGGACTCACTGTCAGATGATTTACGTTGATCATAACTGATTATTAACAGAGAAAAAAATAGTTCAAAGGTTATAGATGACTTAAAAACTCACGATTTTTTACTTGTTACTAATGTTAAATCCAAAGTATTACTAGTATTTATACTATTACATTTATTTTGACTTTTGTTCAAAAAAGAATTTTTATTTTCATCTTCTAACTGTTCATCACCAACGAGCATTTCATTTGAACCTTCAGATGTATCAGTTTCTTTAGTCTTGTTGTTCGTAATAATAATTGATTTTTTGTTGGTAGTTTTTAAATGTTTAGAAAAATTTGATATTTGAAATTGACCATATCTAGAATATAATTTAATTCGATCACCGCATACACATTGTATGATACAAGTTGATATATTATCATCATTTAGATTATTAAGAAAAATTTTAAAGTCATTTACTGATATATTTTCTTGAGTAACACCATGAATAGTATTCTTCATATTTATTAACATTTTCATAATACATTGCTGTATGTATTCATAATTATCTTTTGAACTGACATCACCACCACTTCCACTACTATTTGTTGATGATGATAAAGATCGGTGATTATTTGTTCTAGTTTGTCGTGTTAAAGATAAAAAATGATTTCTTTTTCGCATAATATCATGCGCTGATTTTAATAATAAAATCAGCTTTCCTTTAGTACCAATTTTTATTGTTACTTTGTTTTCAAATGTGTTGCAGATTTCCTTTTGTAACGCAATAAGTTGATCAGAAGAATTTTCATTATTTGATTGTTCAACTACATCGAGTATATCATGTTGATTAACACTACCCAAAATTAAAAAACTATCAATATCGTGAAATCTAATAACTTTTTCAACATTTTTTCCATATTGTACTTCAATATATTTATAAAAATCTTCGCCTGTAAGTTCAAAGAGCTCTTCAATCTCTTCATCAACCATGGTGCAATTGTAATATTTTGAAAATAATAAATTAATGAACAACAAAATAGTAAATCTGAAAAAATTCAATTCAAGTTATATTAATATAAATTTCAACAGTCAATGCTCTCGACTTCTTTATACCCAATTTTATTTAATACAATCAATCGATTAGTTGGAAATTTTACCTTTAAAAAATGATTCTGAATGATCCTTAGTAATTAAGAAACGAACAGTGAGTTGTCGCACTCATTATAGTTATTGCGTGCTCTTCTTGTGAATAGTAATGCGATTTTCATTCATTACAATCTTATCATGTCGGAATAAACGAAAACGGTGTTGAAAATTATTCCTGAACTTTTGCCAATAGACTTCTAAAAGCCAAAAACATTTGAAAAAACGAAAATTTTAACTTTCCTGCCTCATCATACTACAATATTGGATATGAATAAATATTTTTTTTCGTGGTTTCATTGTAACTAAGAACAACATGCTTTTATTTTCTGCAAAGAAAATTTAATTATGAACTTGTCTTTTGTCTTTATGATACACAAGACAAATTATATAGCTACTTTAATACAAGTTTTTAGTCAACTAATTTTTTTTTCTACGTGTTGTTTTCAATAGTTCAAACTAAATTGATTGATCAGTAATATATGATAAACTAAATTATTTTGTAGATGAACCTGATTCAACAAAATTATTTTCCGGTGAGTACTATACATATGGTCAAATGACTGACACTCACTCTATGCGCGCACAGCCATGTACATGAAAGTTTATTGTCTGAAATAAAATAAAAGATTTTTTTAAGATGCTTGTAGGGTATATCAGGTGTGAAAAATACTATCGGTGCTATAATGAAGACGATAGGGACATCCAGTTTACAATGATAGATGATATAGATTAGATGATATTTTTTCTTGTCATAAATCTAATAAAAGAATAATACACAATATTGCATGTCCTAACTTTGAACAATAGCATGCATAGATGAAAATATCATGCTGCTGTAGAAGAAAATTTATACATCATCATACTTTAATTGTCTTTAGTATATTTCAGTTGTACTTCACTTGTACTTCAGTTGTACTTCACTATACTTCACTGGTACTTCAGTTGTACTTCACTGTACTTCACTCGTACTTCACTCGTACTTCACTGTACTTCAGTTGTACTCAAGGGGGAAAAAGCGGATCCTGGATCCTCGGATCCTGGTGGATCCTGGTGGATCCTATTGGATCCTACTGGATCCTGGTGGATCCTGTGGATCCTGTGGATCCTGATGGATCCTATTGGATCCTGGTGGATCCTGATGGATCCTAATGGATCATAGTGGATCCTAATGGATCATAGTGGATCCTAATGGATCATAGTGGAACCTGATGAATTGTAGAATAAATTATTTCAAGCGTACAGAAACGAGGATGGAAAATTTGATCTTAATGGATATGACAATTCTTTAAGGTCCAAATAAATTAAGTGAGAAAAGGGAATAGTGACTTCAGAATTTGTAACTAAGTAAAGAGAAAAAAAGATCCAGGATACCGAGATGATTATGTCTAAATTTTGGCATATCATCATGGATTCTGCGCATTTTTTTGATCCATCAAGATTTACGCTTCCTCGATCGGTTTGATATTATTGTAATACATGATGATTTCTATTGCATTCTAGTTATCTCTGATCAATTGTAATGGATTGTGTTGAATTATAGCCAATGGCGGTAATCTGTGACCGCTTTTGGCACACTTCTAGAAATATATTCTAAAATCTCTTAGGACTCTAGAATCCGCTTTTCTCCGTCAAACTAAGGATGTCAGAACTTAGAGCAACCCTCTACTTTAATTTTAATCCTGTTTTTCCTTGAGAAAGTGTGAAAGAACATTTTGGGCTCCTGAATCTGAAGATTCATGCCATATTTTATTCAGGATTCCGTTTCCAATTTTAATAATACTGGTTTGCAGGATATTTCATTGTGAAAAAAATATTCTTCTCAGGATCTTTTCAAGTTGCCACTCAGATTTCTTTATTATTTTAACATGATGGACCGTACTAGGATTCACCCTTGATCTTATTCAAAACCTTGATAGGGATTACAGAAAGAATATCGCTTAGATTCGATTATAGTTTTGACAGAATTCGTTTGGGATCTCTGCGTCATGGTCCTCTCCTGGCTTACAGTTAAATAAGGCAAATATCCTACAAGGAATTTATAGAAGAGCAATGAAAATGCTCAGGTAGTGAATTCTGCTAAGATTCAATCACGATTCTATCTAATTTTCTTAAGCATTCTTCTTACGAATATCTTTTCTGAATATTTCCAGGGTTGTCTTAGGGTCTCTTCAAGGACAAGCATTTCGGATCCTTCCTAGAGAAGGTCAAGGATGGTCAGGATCTTTCTGAAAGCATATCAAGGTCAGACGAAGATCTTTACCATTTTCATTTAGAGTCTACTAAAGCTTGATCTTGAGGATTGTAACAAGATCTATGACTGATCTGGTTCAGGATTTTGAATAAAATTATGAAATGTTTCCACCAAAATCCTTAACAGTTCCTATTTAAGATTCTTCGAATATTTTTGAATCTTTGAATCTCAAAAACTTAAATTGTGCTTATTAAATAAAATTTTAACAGTAACTATACTAAAATGACAATGAAGAATTTGCAATGTGTTTTGTTCCGGTTCTGACAGGAATGTAGAAGATCAAGAAGGTACCTGAATTTCATTCTAATATTCCTTTGTATCTATGTGTCAGTGAATGGAAGAAATCTGACAGAATTTTTGAAGATTTCTCGTCAAAGATTTTTAATATTTATCTTCAATACTGCATGACATTTACAGCATGGAACTCAGTTATTTCTTGAATTTTATTTTCATATAAAACTTGCAAACTCATTAAAATGGAGATTTTAATATCAGTTTAACTGTTGCACTAACTTTTTCTTAAGAAAGCTTTTAGTATAGGACGAGTACTTCAATAAAACTTGTACTGGATTTTATTTATTCGTGCTAATCAGAAAAATATCTTTTTATTCAAATTGAAATCAACCAGTCATACTAGAATTTTATGATAAGTAATCAATAGATTAAGTTTATATTGAATTTTTGTTCAAATAACTTATGTTTGCATAAAGTTCAAATACAAGTTAATAGTTCAGAGGGAATTCGAGATACAGAAGGTTTGAGTTAAATTAAATAGCATGGTACAGTCTACTGCAGTGAACTAATCAGTTTTTTAACTGAACATATAGAAATCAATAATGTGCGTTCATTTCTCTTTTCTGCTTAGAGAATCCTGGAAAAATTTTGACAATCCATCGGATATCATCCTTACAGAATCGAAATGGAGTTCTGCGAGGTGCAATCAGAAAATATTTTCCAATTAGAAGCCATTGAAATTCTGAGAAGAGCTTGACATAAAGTCAATACAAAATGACTCAGAATTTCTCTAAGATTTTGTTCTAATCATAACAGAATCGTGTTTATTTCGTGCCTACACGTTTTTCTGAGGATTTGACCCTCTATTAACATATTTCTTGTTTTAATTGCATTGGTAAACTGCTCAGGATACTGATAGAATCCTGTTATGAACCTTGTCGAGGTCTTGAAATTCCATGACTACACGGCTTTCTCAAGATTTAGCAGCTTCTTCGACGATATATGATTGGGAAATAGCAATAAACTGTTACGATCTTGATTGAATCTCAATTAAAATTCTGTCGGCATCTTAAAATTTTATGGGTACACACTTTTTTCCGTTTTTCGCATTTTCCCCGGAAAAAATGGTGAACCTGTGCAGCGCTGTTGCTGCTTATGTCAGAAATCTAGCTCAAAAAAGACTTGAGCTTTTCTCTAGCAAAAATTCAACACTATCTAGTACAATCTTTTGAAATCCAGAAGAATACAGCAGAAATTAATAAGCATCATAATAATCTGAAACCAATCAGGAACACCTAAATCTTGATGGATCTTATTCTACCGTATAAACCGCAGAACTCATTCAGATACTCAAAAGTTCATCGGGACCCACCAGGCTCTCAATCTCCGAGATTTCTTTTTTCTTTGTTTTCAAAAAATCTAGGGCCAATTCTTCGTCTGTTTACTTTGTTTCCATGTATTCTAATGGCTTCGGATGGAGTCCAATAGATTCTGGGATGTCTCAAGGTCCGTTTTTCCTTTGTAAAGTAGACTAGTCATAGTTGTATAAATAGCACATGGGGCTCCCATTGATTCATCCAGAACATATTTTGAATTATGCATCCTTATTTTATGAATCTGGTTGATTTCCTTGCTTTTGTGGCTATTCAGAACATTAATCTATCTTCATAAATGATAATGAGTTCTAATGGATTCTAGTGGATCCTGATGGATCCTAACGGATCCTAATGGATCCTAGTGGATCCTGATGGATCCTGATGGATCCTAGTGGATCCTGATGGATTCTAGTGGATCCTGATGGATCCTAGTGGATCCTGGTGGATCCTATGGATCCTGGCGGATCCTGATGGATCCCAGGATCCACCAGGATCCGCTTTTCCCCCCTTGGCTTCACTTGCTGGCAAACATCCTTCGTTATTAACATCTCTAACAATTAATAATTGTACTCTACCCATGGAACATATAGAATCATTACTTTCCCAAACACCAGCACTTAATTATCTTAAATTAATATCCTGTGAACGTACATTCGACACTATTTTCGATGGTTATAACTGGGAACAGTTTATTCTTAATAAATTATCTCAACTCAATCAATTTGAATATTTCTTTTCATTTACTAGCACAATAAACAACTATATGAAAGTTCTGAATCATGTTCTTGCTTCATTTCAAACTCCATTTTGGCTACAAGAAAAACGCTGGTTTACCATTTGTGGCTATGTATTTGGATTCGAAATATTTGAACTTTATACAACTAAAATTAATATGACTGATTCAGATAATTTAATCAAATTTGAGAAGCTAGCCGAAAACAATACATATCGTTTCGTTGGACAACCGTCGAAATATGATAGCAAAAAAGTATGTGTCCTAATGTCTTTGGTATATATGGATAAGCGAAAATATCGTGTTACATTAGTCATAAAAAAATCAAACTTATTAGTCGATAAAATCGTACTTTTTATGTTCTATTTGCATCTCTGCTATTCACATATCTAGCATTACTATCTTTCATCATTTGATGTCTAGTTTTTTCATCGATAATTAACTCACAGAAGTAGAACTTCATGTCTCTTGCCATTACTCGCTGAAAAAGCCTCCTTCTGCATTAAACTTTAGTTCTAATTGTTAGAGTTTGTAATGAAGAGGGGCTGCTAGAAATGTCAAAGTTTGAATTTACTAATTTTTTCATTCAGAGCATCATAATTTCATGTAGTTACTGTATCCTCCGTTTGTAAATCAGTTAAGACTTCAGTCTACAAATCATTTATCTGAAAAATGAATGGTACAATTTGTTGAATTTTAATTTTTTTTTCAATAGACACGCATCTAACTGGATCTTAGTAATAAAACCATTGACGATACCATCGCTGAATATCTATCTTTTGCACTACGATGTGACAAGGTAAGAGTAGTTTTTATTCTCATTATCTTAGATTGATGTTTTGCCCTACTTCATCGATCCTTACTAAGTTGAGAATAGCATAAAGTCATAGTTATATGTTGGATTATCTAGTCGAGAATACATGTTTTTGGATTACAGAAAAAAAAACTATCAATGCATTTTTAAAATATAGACTCTCGACAAGTTAAACCTAGCTGGAAATCAAATTGGAGATAGTGGTGCAACACATCTTGCAACTGCTTTGTTAAACAATAAGGTAACATATATTACTAGCAGTTACTTTCTATGTTTTCATATGCACCAAAAGACACTCGTAGAACTCGATCTTCGGAACAATCGAATTGGACTACGTGGTGCACAATGTTTTTTCAAGTTACAACAAAATAATACAGTATATTTTACTTGTAGTTCTTTTCTGACGGTCTTACATTGTTTTTGAATTTTAAGACACTGAAGAAGCTTCAAATGGGTGAAAATGCTGATAATTTCTGTACAATTGTTGAAATCGCCCACAGAATAAGATATGATAAGGTAGTTAATAGTTTTATCCTCTTTGATATATAGGTTATTTCTATTATATTTTATAGGGATTAAATTCATTAAACCTTGCAAAACATCAGATTGGTGATCAAGAAGTACAATGTCTGGCTGAAGCACTGAAAACTAATAATGTATTTGAATTCGACGATTTTTACTAAGAAATATTATGTTTTACATCTTTAGACGCTGTTTTCACTTGATCTCAGTAATAATTATCTCAGTAATATCGGCATAGAATTGATAGCTAATGCATTAAGAAACAACACCGTAATCGATGGCCTTCTATGATTTTGCAGGGTATATTGTCATTTGTTTGTTTATAGACCCTCTCAAAAATTCATCTCAATGGAAATCCTAGTCATCTCTATGCCGCGGTCACAACAATGCAACAATTGAAATGTGACATGGTAAACTAGAATGTCCGTCTTGTTCTCATAGAATATAATAATATTTTTTCTTTTGTTTAAAGTCACTGACCAAATTGAAAGTTCAAGGATGTCGAATTGGTGATAAAGGTGTACAATATTTGACTGATGTTTTCCAATATAATAATGCAATTATTATATATCTTTTATGTAGTATATATTTCTGTTCTTTGTACAGACCATCATTACAGTAAATCTCGGCAATAATGAAATTAGTGATGATGGAGTAAAATATCTAGTTGATGTCTTGAGAAACAACATAGTCAGTATCATCTTGATAATAAATTTCGTCTATTCAAGGTGCATTCTGTGTTAAGACACTCACCATATTGAATCTTAGTTATAATCGAATTTGTGACGGTGGAATAAAACATCTCGTCGATGCGATTCAAAACAATACGGTATATTGTACTGTCATGCACCCGTCATTTATCACCTCTAATATTCACAAGAGGGGACATATGACATTTCTCTTCGATCAATAACCAGTTGAATTCAATTGTATAGTGCTTATCTTTTTATAGACACTTACTACCCTTGATCTTGAAGGAAATCAAATTGAAGATAGAGGAGCCGAATATCTTGCAGATCTGCTACTGAATAATAGGGTATATTGTAACTTTCATTTCTGAAAGACAAAAAATATCAAGGTAAAATTTCAATATATATGAATTAACCTAGACACTTGTCGCTATAAATCTTCGCAGCAATCGAATTGGGATGATTGGTGCACAATATTTCTTCAAATTACAGCAAAATAATACAGTATATTTTGTTTCTAGTTCTTCTCTTACTTTCTTACATTATTTTTGAATTTTAAGACATTGAAGAAGCTTCAAATGAGTAACAATGCCGATAATCTCTGTACCATTGTTGAAATTGCTCATAGAATAAGGCAGGATAAGGTAGTACATTGTTTTACCCTCTTTTATATATAGATTATCTCTAGAGTCACGTTTCCTAATAACAACACCAAAACATTAGCATATCTTGTTTATGCTGTCACATAGCTATTTCATATCTAAGTGAAAGTCTTTTCACGAATCCATGATCTTCAAAGTATCCTCTTTAAAATGCCGCAAGAACTATGTTCTGCTGACTTGTAGTTCTCAAGATATCAGCGGTATGCGAAAATCTACTGCGCCTGTTGTTATTAGGGGCCACGTCCTTAATAACAATAGCCAGCTAATTTTTGGCCTTAATAATAGCATTCTAATAAAATTGACGGAGAAACGTAACTCTTTGGAAAAACAATGTTTTTCACATTTTTGGTAAGGGAAACAAGCGTGGATCCCATTATGAATTTTGTAGAGCGTCTCAAACTCTATCTAGATTAAGAGGTTCAGCAGAAAAAAATTTTCCATCATAAGATACAAAGTTTAAAGTGAACAACTACGAGATTCATAAAATTATAGGTGACGCTAATAACAACACTCAGCTAATTTTTGTTCCTATTAATAGCACTACATTAGTGCGATATTATCTCTAGGACTAAGGTATCATTACCGCAATATGCAGCGAAAATTTTATTCTAAATATAAATGAAAATGCGTGAGCAACCAATTTCGTTCAAGACTGAAAATTTCACACAAACACTTCGACTTATAGAACCTCATTCTCAAGGCTAAAAGAACCGTTTCTCGCGTTTCAGTGCCATATCATTTCACTACTATAAAGAAGATTACTTAAGAAACTAATTAATCATCTTGAATATGCAGCTTTGTTTCTGTACAAGGCTGTTACTTGTAGAGGCAGGTTTTCAGTGAATATGGCTTTAAGGATATCCTTAGTTCTGAAGATAATATCGTACGAACGTAGTGCTGTTAATAGGGACAAAAATTAGCTGAGTGTTGTTATTAGCGTCACCTATAATTTTATGAATCTCGTAGTTGTTCACTTTAAACTTTGTATCTTATGATGGAAAATTTTTTTCTGCTGAACCTCTTAATCTAGATAGAGTTTGAGACGCTCTACAAAATTCATAATGGGATCCACGCTTGTTTCCCTTACCAAAAATGTGAAAAACATTGTTTTTCCAAAGAGTTACGTTTCTCCGTCAATTTTATTAGAATGCTATTATTAAGGCCAAAAATTAGCTGGCTATTGTTATTAAGGACGTGGCCCCTAATAACAACAGGCGCAGTAGATTTTCGCATACCGCTGATATCTTGAGAACTACAAGTCAGCAGAACGTAGTTCTTGCGGCATTTTAAAGAGGATACTTTGAAGATCATGGATTCGTGAAAAGACTTTCACTTAGATATGAAATAGCTATGTGACAGCATAAACAAGATATGCTAATGTTTTGGTGTTGTTATCAGGGAAAGTGACTCGATGTAGTCTATTCCTATTCTTTGTCCAGACGATCAGTTCAATAAATCTCGACAACAATGAAATTAGTGATGATGGAATAAAATATCTAGTTGATGTTTTGAAAAACAACATGGTCAGTATCATCTTGATAATAAATTTCGCCTATTCAATACATATTTTTTGTGTCAAGACATTCACTACATTAAGCCTTGGTTATAATAGAATTAGTGACGATGGAGTCAAACATCTCATCGATGCGATTCAAAACAATACGGTATATTGTACTGTCACGTACCCGTCATTTATCATCTCTAATATTCACAAGAGGGGACATATGACATTTCTCTTCGATCAATAACCAATTGAATTCAATTGTATAGTGCTTATCTTTTTATAGACACTTACTATCCTTAATCTTGAAGGAAATCAAATTGAAGATAGAGGAGCCGAATATCTTGCAGATCTGCTACAAAATAATAGGGTATATTGTAACTTTCATTTCTGAAAGACAAAAAATATCAAGGTAAAATTTCAATATATATGAATTAACCTAGACACTTATCGCTATAAATCTTCGCGGCAATCAAATTGGCATGATCGGTGGACAATATTTCTTCAAGTTACAACAAAATAATACAGTATATTCTGCTTGAAATTCTTCTCTTACTTTCTTACATTATTTTTGAATTTTAAGACATTGAAGAAGCTTCAAATGAGTAACAATGCCGATAATTTCTGTACCATTGTTGAAATTGCTCATAGAATAAGGCACGATAAGGTAATATATTGTTTTACCCTCTTTGAGATTTAGATTATCCATGGGAAGTTCTGCAGGCACTCAATTCATTAAACCTGGAAAAGCGTCAGATCAATGACCAAGCGGCACATTGTTTGGCTGAAGCACTAACAACTAATAATGTATTTCGATGAAAGCAGTTCTTTTCTAAAGAAAATATTATGTTTTACACCTTTAGACGCTGTTTTCATTTAATCTGAGAAATAATTATCTCAGTGATATTGGCATAGAATTGATAGCTGATTCATTAAGAAACAACACCGTAACGGATAGCCTCACATGATATGATGCATCGTTTTATTTATTCGTTTATAGACACTCTCAAACATCTATCTAAATGGAAACCCCAGTCATCTCTGTGACGCAGTCACAACGATGCAACGATTGAAATGTGATATGGTAAACTATAATCTAGATTCTATTTTTCATTCAAAAAAGTAATATACTTTCTCTAAAAGTCGCTGACGAATCTGACAGTTCAAGGATGTCGAATTGGTGATAAAGGTGTACAATATTTGACTGATGTTTTCCAATATAATAAGGTAATTGTTGTATTTCTTGATATGTAGTCTATTTCTATTCTTTGTATAGACGATCAGTACAATAAATCTTGATAATAATGAAATTAGTGATAATGGGATAAAATATCTAGTTGATGTTTTGAGAAACAACATCGTCAGTATCACCTTGATAATAAATTTCGCCTATTCAATACATATTTTTTTTTTGTATCAAGACACTCACTACGTTAAGTCTTGGTTATAATAGAATTACTGACGATGGAGAAAAACATCTCGTTGATATGATTCAAAACAATACGGTATGTTTATGCCATCACTCTTCTTTCTTTTTTATTACATCTTTCAGTATAAAAATAATTAATTTCAAGATACTCAGATTATCTCTATGTGGAGATAGATTATTACATCACCTGCCTCTAATATTGACAAAAAGACATATAATATATCTGCACGCTCAATAACCAGTCGACTTTATCTGTAAAGTTTTTGTTCTTTTACAGACACTTACTACGCTTGATCTTGAAGGAAATCAAATTGAAGATAGAGGAGCTGAATATCTTGCAGATCTTCTACGAAACAATAAGGTATATTAAAATTTTGGTTTTTGTGCTAAATAATAACTATCTAGAATTCCAATCTTTTAATTCACCAAGACACTTATTACTTTGAACCTTCAGAACAATCGTATTGGTGACATCGGTGCACAACATCTTCGTGAAGTTTTGCGAATAAACAAAGTATAAGATGGTTTTGACGAAGATTTTTTCGCATCTTACAATGCTTTTTCAGACACTTTTAAAGTTTACTCTAAAGGGCAATCAAAGTACTTTATGTACAAAGGTTCAAATGGAACATGAGGTAGCGCTTGAAATGGTCAGATATTGCTCATTTTTCCCATTATGTTTTACTTTTTATCATGAAACATTTTAGATAAGTACCACAGTAGATTGGACAGGTCATCAGATACGAGAAGAAAAATTAGAGTGCTTGAGTACTGCGCTACAAACAAACTATGTTAGTTAAACTCAATAATGTTCCATAGATATTTCATTCCTGTTCTTAAATAGATAACAATAGTTTTGATCCTTGATGAGAATCAAATTGGAGACAATGGCATGAGATATCTCGTCGATGGCTTATTGAGGAATAAGGTAAAAAAGAGATAGTACTTCATTGATAATTTGTTCTATACTTTATACGTAGACGTTGCAAGAATTGAGTCTTCGAAAGAATCGAATTGGTGATGAAGGAGTGAAATGTATCGCCGATGTTTTGAAAGAAAACATGGTAAAGATTATATTAGTAGTAGATTTTTTTTATATAAGATAGTTTTCTTGTGAAGACACTTACTACATTGAATCTTAGCAAGAACTCAATTGGAAATGATGGAGTGAAATATCTCGCTGAAGTTTTGAAAGAGAATATGGTGAGTATCAATTTGGTCGTCGTTTTGTACTATTAAAAGTATCCTTTTCGATAAGACACTTACCACATTAATTCTTTCCAATAATCTAGTTGGTGATAATGGAGCGAAATATGTAGCTGATATAATAAAAAATAATACAGTACGTAATATTACCATTTGTCTCATTTGTGTTAAGTTTTTCACCACAATACCTGAGTATTAGTATTCACATTTTATTCTTCACAAACGGTTCGACTTATGTAATAACTAGGACCAAGTTTTAGACTTTGAATTAACCTTCAATACTAAGAATAGATAGTGGCGAAATACACGTTTGTGCTATGCAATGGAGTGAAATCTCTTGTTTATTTTTTGAGAAACTCACTACATTGAAGTTGGAGAACAATCGAATTGGTGATGATGGAGCACAAAAACTCGTTACTGCTTTAAACATCGACACCGTAAGTTATATCATTGAAAAATATTAACTCTGCTCCATGGCTCATCTATTTTATTAGACGTTGTGCAATATTCTTCTCAATGGCAATGCCACACATTTCTGTGTCGTAGTTGAAGTTTTGCATCAGCTACGACATGGAAAAGTAACCTGACTTTCTTTCTTTTTCATTGACATCATTATACTTTTTAGATGCTTAACTCGTTGAACTTTTCAAAGCATTCTATGAAAGATGAAGAAGTTCCATTTTTAGCTCAATCATTGATGGATAACAAGGTGACTTTTCCCTAGATTTAGTCTTCCGACACATTTATACTCATATTGCAGACAGTTGTCGAATTGAATCTTTCTTCAAATCAGATTCGAGAAAATGGTGCTCAACATCTGGGCAATGCTTTACGAAATAATACAGTATATTGAGTCTTCCTAGTATGGGCTTAACCTCACGTGTTTTTTCTTTACGTAGGCACTCTCTTTATTGAATTTGAACATGAACTCGATTGGATATAAAGGTTTACAATATCTTGTTGATTCTTTAATTATTAACAAAGTAAAATAGATTAGCATAATCATCGTGCTCAGATTAATATTAATCATTAGACTCTAACTATTCTGAAACTTCGAGAAAATAAAATCACAGATGAAGGAATCTACTGTTTAATAGACTTACTATTTAACAATAATGTACGACAGTCTTTACGATCGTCATTCTAATGTCTGCTTTCTTTGCTATTTTGTAGACTCTTACCGAATTAGATTTGTCTTTCAATAAAATCACAAATCATGGTGCTGATAATTTAGCATGCGGTTTACAACAGAACAAAGTAAACTATTTTCTCATATGGTTTCTCTTACACTTCTCAGGAAATTCCGAAATCTTTTTTCGCTTTGAAATAAGTAGATAAATCTTGCTTCACATTATTCGATAAGCTTTAAGATCATATTCATATAATGGCATCTTGAATTTTTTACATAGACACTTACTGTGTTGAATCTTTCTGGAAATCAAATTGGAGATGCAGGTGCTCAAAAGTTAGCAGATATTCTGCAAGTTAATAAAGTAAAAATTTCTTGAATCGATATTTACATCGCTATCATCTATTTTGGTTGTAGACATTGATCAGTTTACAACTTATACAGAATCAAATCAGCAAACGAATTCAACAAGAATTGAATTCAAAAGACTCCAGAATTGCAATAAAATGATATAATGTTTCCATTGAGTTCCATTATTATTAGTCAAGAAATTTCCTCTATTTCACATCATTCATATGAATAAACAAGAATAATACTCGTATTGCATAGGCTGAATATTGCATCTCGTAATATTTTGCAGCGGTCATAGTTAGCAAGGACTTTTAACCTCTGTTTTGAATTGTTCAAGTCTCGATGGTGAGGGTGGGTGACTAGTATTATAAGAAAACTACGTTCAACTAGTATTAAATTTGCAATTACGAATATAGATTGGGTAACATCTTACAATCGCAAACGTTTTAGTAATTGCACTGCGCTCAAATAAAAATATCGGAAATATCAGAAAAGGCTTATTCTTGAATATAAAGATCAAGTAACACTCTATTTTTTGGTCGAAAATACCACTACATGTGTAAAACATGCTGGTTAGCAGTCATTTGAAGATCGCGACTTTCGGTGAAAAGAAGAATCACATTCAAATTACTCACACGCCTGAGAATAAGATATGATAATAGTTTTTGTAGAAGGAAGAAGAGCTATTGATTAAATCTTAAGAGTCAATAATACAATATTTTCTCACATTGTAGCGAGTTTATTAAAATAAAGTTGAGAGGGTGCGGGTGCGTGATAACTCTTCATCTACACCCACACCCTCCTCAAGTTTATCTAAATTGATTTTCTAGAAATGTATCGATTTATTGATTGAAAAAGAATATCTTGAACGAGATGCCAATGACAAGGAAACTTTACGTTATAAGGCTTAAACGATGGACTTTTTATCAATTATCTAGAATATTATTTTCATTCTAAATTACAATGAGTGCCTCATTGCTAGCTGTTATATAACCTATATTTTTATTTATTTTTCAGAAAATAATAAAAATAACAGAATATAATACGGTCCATATGATTGTTATGTCTTGTTTAATCTTGAGTACTGTGCAGATTTTGATGAATTCATACAGATGAAAATAAACTATATGGATGTCGTTATGTATATTCACTCACATGTGTACGACTCAATCAGAAAATGGAAAGATTATACTTCCTCAATTTTATATGCCCAGATTTTGAGTGAAAATACACTATGTAATTGAGTTATATGACAGAAAGAGAGAAAGTCAAAAATAGAGTCGATCAACATCAGTGCAGATTGTTGTGGAAGCTTTTAAAGGTATTCTTCAATTACTCATTCCTTGACGTATGATAATAGGCTTTGTGTAAACAATTAGTTGGTTTCTTCCAACTTTCGTGCAAATAAATATTCAGTTGTTTGTGCAGTGCTGATTGTATTTCAAAATGGTCGTAGGAGCAAATCTCGAAGCGTACCCTCAATATACAACTGTTCTGATACCATCGTCATCCGGTGAGCACGAGCAGTTAGAATCTGGCTACAATTCTTCGACGTCTACATCAAGTCCAAAGAGTCTTCCAAAGATCAAATGACCAACAACTGGACAACAATCTAAACATGTCGAAACACAATCAAGAGCTTCAGTTAGCACTCAACAATCAATCTCAGCACATCATCAAGTACAACAGCCAGTGGATCCAATCGTTAGATATCGTAGTCAAAACGCAACCTATTCCTTAATATCAATGGATATGATGATATCAAAACAATTCAAAACAATTGAAACGGTAAGTGATGAATTTTTTGAGAACAGAATCGAATCCAATACTAAATTTAATGTGAAATGGAAAACGAACCTTTCAATATATTTTTTAGAATACTTCAATTAATCACAGCCGTTGTTTACGTACTCCATCCAAATATCAAGAAGAGAGTACAGACTATTCTGATGATTGGGAAACTGATTATTCAGACGATTTTACATCAGATAGTGAAAATAGTTTGGAGCTCATCCCGAAGAAGGCCTCTGAATTCGCAAATGTATCGACACAAAAAGAATGTCGAATTGAAGGCATTACAAATAAGGAAGAAGACCCAATATACAAAAATCTATCCACACAGAAAGATTCTGTAGGTAATTTAAAAACGAATTCGTCGAGTGATACTTTAAGTTTAATACCATTGGATCCAAACGCATTTGAACCTGCATTCTGTCGACAACGTCAGGCAGCCATTGACAATGTGGATTATCGAAGAGCAGTGAAGAGTTGGAAAGCGAAAAATGCTCGTGATATAATCAAGCTCATACTCGAGTTATCATCTGGCAAGAGTGTTATCGATCGAGCCTGGATTGTATTCTATTGGGTTTCGCAGAATATTGAATATGATATTGACGCATATTTCAGTGGTAATATTCGCTGTCAAAGTACAGACGATCTATTTAGAAGTGGAAAAGGAGTGTGCGATGCCTTTGGTACAATTTTCGAGGCTCTTTGCAATGGAGTCGGATTAGAATGCAAGAAAATCAGTGGATACGCCAAAGGATACAGTTTTAAATTAGAAACATCAGTTTTCCATCGGACGGATCATGCTTGGAATGCCATTCGTCTTGATGGCCGCTGGTATCTGGTTGACTCGACGTGGGGTGAAGGACATATAGATAATAGAAATCAAAATATCAGAAAGCTATGTCCATATTATTTTCTCGTACGTCCAGAGCAGTTGATCTATACACATTTGCCTGAAAATCCACAGTGGCAATTATTGAAATCACCTATTTCAATGAAGAATTTCGTTTGCCTACCACATGTTTATCCAGAATATTTTGAGCTTGGCCTTCAGATGATGTCCCCATACCAGTCTAGTATGGCACTATTCGACTCGAGTCAAGGACTTGCTGAAGTACTTATACGAGCTTCAGATAGCATAGATTTCACTACAAGCATGCGACGGATAGGATATGAAGCAAACAAAACAACTAGTCTCGTCCAATATGATGCCGATCGTCAATTGTGGCAATGTCTTTTTGTACCTCAAACAGGTGGTTTTCATACGTTGACTATCTATGCTAGGAAAGTAAAGCAAATGACAACTCAAAGTTCGACAGATGATAATACCTATCCATGTGTGGCCGAGTTGGGTTTAGAAGTTCCAGCTACTTTCAGTGGAACAAAGACTTTTCCAATAACATATTCTACATTCAGTGTACACAAATGTCAAATCTTACAACCTCTGAATGGTAGTCTAAAGGCAGGCTCGAAGCAAACGATACATTGTCGTATTCCTGGTGCTTATTGTGCTCGAATTTTGGTTGATGGAAATTGGCTACCTGAAATCATTCTCAAAAATGATATATTCAAGACAGAATTTACTGTTCCTAAACGAGAGGTCATGGTATATGTCAAATTCGCTAATAAAAAGAACATTTCAAGTTACGATGGACTGATCAAATATTCAGTTCATTAAAATCCATATATGTATTTAAACTTTTCTTTGCTGGATTACCTATTTACTACAGTTAAATTATGTGATTAAAAAAGCTTCAGTTTCCTCGTGTTGATACTTCCTTCATAATCATGTCAAGTTTTTCATAGAAAAAATCAGCATTTTTTTTTTGAAAAAACACATTGACGTAAATACAATAAACCACTTGATATTTTCGATAAACTATGAAAAAACAAGCAACAGAGACTTACGGTTTTAATTTAATCACATTCTTATAGATCCATCAAGTTGACAATGATTAAATGTTCACGTTGAGTTATAGAAAAAAATAGCATCTTACTTCTGTTTGATTTCTTCCACTTCGTTAGTGTCAGGCTCACGCTTTTTATGATTGTGTACAATTTCAATTCCAAGAAAAAGTCTTCGACCACGTACATCACCTATGCTTTCATATTTTCTGGCGAGGGTCTTTACAATACCAGCTCGGCAGCTGACAGGATTTCCACCATATGTATTGAAGTAGTCAATACCATCACTAGTAAGTCTATTTGTAATCTCTTCGCGAATTATTAATGCAGCAACAGGAAATCCATCACCCATTGATTTACTCACTGTGACAAAATCAGGAATAATATCTAATGTATAAGATAATTGAATGAAGTATTCATTTTATGTTTCAAACAACGTTCCTCATAAGATTGAAACAACCAAAAATGCGTACCACATCGACCGAAACCTACTTCTGATTCATCAGCAAGATGTAATATACTTTTCGATTGAAGATAAGTAAGGAGTTTTAGAGAAATTCCTATCAAGAATACAAGAAAAAAACGTTTCAATTCACTTAAATGTTTTCTTAAGATATTCTTTCGGATAAATAATTTGCCCACCACATGACTGTAATGGTTCAATAATAAATATTGCTATA